CCTCTCTGTCTCCCCACTGTTTGAGTGAGATTTGTGTTCTGAAATATAAGAGACAAAAAATTAAGACTAATTTTAAATAAACTGAATATGATTAATATCTTTCAGGGGAGCTTGGAGCTCCTGGAGCTCCAGGAGAGAAAGGTCTTCCAGGAAAAATTGGTCACTGTCTCATTGGTTTACCAGGAAAACCAGGTCAATGCGGAGTAATGGGACCACAAGGTAACGATATACAAAAATGTCACGAAAATAGTGACACTGATATATCAATAATGTATTAAAAAATTAATAGTATGGTATATACGGTAATAAACACAGTCCTCTGATAGCCTAACCTGTTCTTAACATCTGTTGTGCAAGGTACATAACAGTTATATTCAAACGTGGAGGGCACTGCATCAGTGTAAGTCAAATTGATGAAATATTTACCATTTTTATTATAGTGTTTTGAGTATAAAAATCTAACCCACAATAAATTGGGAAAAAATCAAATGAAAATGATCATAATAGTCATTATTTTCACTAGCACAAAAAGTTAGCTGCAACATAATTAGTTCTAGTATATACATGCCAATTTTGACAAAATACAATAGTTTCCCTAAACCAGCGGTTCTCAACCTATGGGTCGCGACCCCATTTGGGGTCGATCGACCATTTCACGGGGGTCGCCAAGCAAGGCTGTCCGCCATTTTTTCCCCTTTTCCAGCGGGTGCCTTACCTCCCTTGGGCTGGGCCAGCTGGTGGTCGGCCTGCTCCGTCTCTGCCGCTTGCCAGCTACGCCTCGGCCGGCGCAGGGGGCGGAACCATGCATGCGCAGCGCTCCCGGGCAGGGAAAGTCCTCGACTTACGACCGGTTGGGTAGTCCTCGACTTACGACTGGTTTAGTCCTCGACTTACGACCAGTTTAGTCCTCGACTTACGACCAGTTGGGGGTCGCAGCATTAAAAAGGTTGAGAACCACTGCCCTAAACCATGGCCTGGCAAACAAATGGCAACCTTATTGCTCACAAAGATCATGCAGTGAGCACTGTGATGGATCTATCACCTAGGGATTCTTGAAATCGGTTATACATGTAGTCCTCATCTCACGACCACAACTGAGCTTAAAATGTATCTTGTTAAGTGAGACATTTGTTAAGTGAGTTTTGCCACATTTTATGACCTTTCTAGCCACAGTTGTTAAGTGAATCATTGCAGTTGTTAAGTTAGTAACATGGTTATTAAGTGAATCTGGCTTCCCCGTTGACTTTGTTTGCTGCATGTCATGTTTGCCGCATGTCACAAAAGGTGCTCACATGACTCCCAGGACACTACAACTGCCATAAATACGAACCAGTTGCCAAGCATCCAAATTTTGATCACATGACCCTGGGGATGCTGCATCGGTCATAAGTGTGAAAAATGGTCATAAGTCACTTTTTTCAGTGACTTTGTAACTTTGAACAGTCACTAAACAAACTGTTATAAGTCGGGGACTATCTGTATTAAAAGTTCAGACCATGGACTTTTTCTGGCACTGTTTGTGTTATATACTTGCAGAAAATATGTTGGGGCAAAAGCAGACAATGGTAGTACCTACAGAAAATGGTGATTCACTGAGAGGGAAATTTTAAGTGATATATTATTGATTTTTATAGTTTTGATGTTTGGAGTGATTAAAATAACTGCGTTAGTTTGGATTTGGTTTTGTTCTGCAAGAGACAACAATAATTAATATGCTGTTAAGGCAAAATATTCATACTTTATCAATGTAATGTCGGTGATGTGCTAAATTATTCTGCCCCTGCTTTCTACTAGCATATTATAGAAATAATACAAAGATAAAAGTCAGTGTTGGAATGATCTGCTTTTTTCAACATGAATCTAATGATCCAGTGGATTTGGGGTTGGTTGCATTTTCTTGTCATGACTATAAGAAATTTCCTATTACAAAATATTACAAGAAACTTTTTAAATTTATTAATAGGCTCTGTGTCTCTACAGGGAGTGTTGACCTCTACTTTGTTTATAGAAATGCTGATGCAATCCTTCATTTGGTAAAAGGGAGCCTGTTCTTTTCTGAAACATTAAATCTGATAATATATGTTATTTTAGGGATCAGAGGAACAGTAGGAGCCAAAGGAGATCCAGGTATTCCGGGATTAGATATCCCAGGATTTCCAGGACGATTTGGACTTCCTGGATTACAGGGCCCTGAAGGAAATAAAGGATTGCCTGGCATCAAAGGACAACGTGGTAAGCCAGGAATGCCAGGCACACCAGGTAAATGTTCCTTAAACAAGAAGAATCTTGATATAATTAATGTATTTGTTGTGTAGTGGGAACAGCGAGGCATTGAAGACATGGAGTTGAATTAACAGCTCTTTATTCAGTTCTCACAGAAGCAACTCTATGCTTGATTTATATTTATATGGACCGCCACTAGGTGGCGGCCAATCAATTTAAAATACTCATTCCCGCCTAAAACAAAGGCTTAAAGTTATACAGACAGTCTATAATTCAAATAGAACAAACAGCTAACCATTTTTATGGACTACTGTAATGCTCTCTACATGGGGCTCCCCTTGAGGAGCACCCGGAAGCTCCAGCTAGTCCAAAATGCGGCCGCGCGGGCGGTGTTGGGAGGGACTCGATGCTCCCATATAACACCGCTGCTGCGCGAGCTGCATTGGCTGCCTGTGGCCTTCCGGGTGCGCTTCAAGGTGTTGACTATCATCTTTAAAGCGCTCCATGGCATCGGACCCGGATACCTTCGAGACCGCCTTCTGCCGCAGATTACCTCCCATCGACCTGTACGCTCCCACAGAGTGGGTCTCCTCAGGGTGCCGTCGGC